GTTTTCCAGTGCAACTATCGCCACGTGATTTGCTTAGACTGTTTCCACTTATACTGTGTGACAAGACTCAATGATCGGCAGTTTGTCCACGACCCCCAGCTTGGCTACACCCTGCCTTGTGTAGGTAAGTCTAGCACTTCTTTTCTCCATTTCTAATACTAATGAAAAGCAAAAGAAGAACTACTGGTGAAAAACTACCTTTGATAAACATACCTCATTCCTAGCAGAGGGTTGAAAATTTGAATTCGATCATTGCCGTGTAATAAACATTAATATTTAGATCACAAAAGATATAAAACTCTAAAGAATGAAGGAACTGCATTGAACTAGAAAACACATAACTTGCACAAATGCATTGAGAATAAGTTTGAAAATATCATTCAGCGAAGGTACATAAAGTATGTCTGTGGGTTAGATTCACCCTGCAAGCATTAGATTTGTTACCGTGGATTTAGAGTAATATCATCCAGGTTTTTTAATTGTACATTGCTATCAATAAAAATGTTGAAAATATACCTGTTATATATGAAGTAACATATGAAGAAAGAAATTAAAGAAGAAGGAGATAAAGCTGAATTGTTTAATATTTAAATTTTTGAAAATATTTTAGCATCACAAAACACCCTTTCCTTGTACTATACCATTATTACATATATAATTTTTAATTGAGGTGAAATTCATATACATTAAACATTTTAAAGTGTACAATTCAGTGGTGCTTGGCACATTTACGATGTTGTACAACCACGACCTCTCTCTAGTTTCGGAACTTTTTCACCACCTCAGAAGAGTACCCTATACCCGTTAAGTAATCGCTCCCCCTTTCCCTGGCTCCACCCCTGCCCACCACAATCCTGTGTCTCTATGGATTTCCTATTCTGGATGTTTCCTATAAAAAGAATCATTCAATATGTGGCCTATTTTGTCTGCCTTATGTTTTTGAGGTTTATCCAAGTCGTAGCACGGATCAGTACTCCTTTCGTGTTCATGGCTGAATAATATTACATTGTGTGGTTACACCACAGTTCGTTAATCCATTCATCTGTTGAAGGGCATTGTGTTGTTTCCACCTTTGTGGCTATTATGAATAATGCCGCTGTACACATTCATATACAAGTTTCTGGGTAGACACATGCTTTTATTTATTTGAATATGTACCTAGAAGCAGAATTCTATGCTTAACTTTTTGGAGAACCACCAACTGTTTTCCACAGCTGCTGTACTGCTTTATATTGCCACCAGCAATGTGGAAGGGTTTCTTTTTCTCCACATTCTTGCCAGAACTTGTTAGTGTCCTTTTCGGTTTTTTTACTGGTCATCCTAGGGGGCAGGAAGTGATACCTTATTGTGGATTTGATTTTCATTTCCTTAATGACCAGTGATGTCGAAGATCTTCTCAGGTGTCGTTTGCCATTTATATGTCTCCTGTACAGGAATGTCTGTTTGAGTCCTTTGCTCATTTTTAAATAGGGTTGTTTTTTCTTTTTGTTGTTGAGTTGTAAGAGTTCTCTATGTATTCTAGATGCTGGACCCTTATAAGATACATGATTTGCAAATATTTCTCCCATTCTATAGGTTGTCTTTTCACTTTCTTGATAATGTTCTTTGATGAACAAGTTTTTAACTTTGTTGAAATCCAGTCCATCTGTTTTTTCCTTTGTTGCTTGTGTCTTTGGTGTCAAATATAAGAATCCATTGCCATATCAGAGATCATGAAGGTTTTACTTCTGTGTTTTCTGATAGCTTACCTTTTATACGTAAGTCCTGGATCCCTTTTGAGGTAATTTTTGTAAATGGAGTGAGGTAGTTCCTTCTCATTA